CACACACACACACGCACACACACACGCACACACACACGCACACACACACGTGAGCACACACCCTTCTGCCTCTCCCACATTTGCCCCACCTCCCGTCCCGCCCCACCTCATGCAGCCTCTCTCTCTCTTTTTTCTTTCCTCTCTCTTGCCCTCCACCCACCCTTCCCGTTGAGGCAGTAAGAGGAGGAGGGGGCAAGAGAGGAAGGTGAGATAAAGAGAAGGTGATCTCTCTCTCTCTTTTTTTCTTGTCTAGCCGTCCCTCCCCCTCTTTTCATGTTCCTGACAGCAACAGTTTCTGAGAGGCCATTTTTTTCTTTGCTCTGTCCTGACTTCATTTTTCGATTCATCTGATTTTCCCTCCCTCTTGCTCAGCGTGGTCCCGTGCCACCAATTGAAAGGGGTCACATCCATTTCAAAGAGAGACACCTCATCTTCCAGCTTTCACAGATACATAAGACGGAGAAAGAAATCTCCTGTTGCGCACATTTCTCTGCTTTCCTTTTCTCATCTTACAGCAAAAGGATTCACTTACTTAAAATTCTGATTGCAAGACACATGAATGGCAAAAATGATGGTCAAGACAATCTACTCCACCTCAATCTATCTACTGTATCTCAGCATCACAACAACCTTCCACTTCCAACCCTCAGGTTTCACATTGCTCTTCACCAGATGTCGGACTGAGTCATCTCAGCTTTTGGGAATCTCCCTGGCAACAGCTCATCTTGTGTTGTTTGCATGTGATGTGCAATATCTCCATTAACAACTGTGAATAGAAAGCATGACTGCTTCTCTGTAATTGTGTGACTTCCTCACCAGCCGACCATAAAGAATGTGTAATGGCGTGGCCGGCAACTTTGTAGTCATGGGAACAGCACTCAAATAAACTGACGTGACCCGGCCTGCCCTTTACTCTAAAACTGTTATTGTTATCATCAAAGGCTCATGGTGTTTAAAACTGTTTAAAATATTCTCTCCATTATATCAAGATGAGCTGGGAGCTGTTGAATTCAGGCTGGGGCCACAGGGAGAGATTCAATATATGCTGCTCATGTTATGATTCTCTATTAATAATAATATTCATAGCAATTTAAATCTGTGGCTGTGTACAATGTTAATAAAGTGCAAATTATAAGTTATGTTTCCCAACTTGAAACTTCTTTCACTCTTCAGCAGTGAAAAACAGGAAGTAACAAAAAATGAAAACTGTATAGTGGCTAAACATCAACAATATAGTTCTACTCAAAATAACAAAGCTAACATGTAATATTATATATATTAGGCAAGTTTAATGATTGCCATGTTAACAATCTTTATTCAGTATTGTATTAGTTTAGCTAATGTTTACTACTTACCAGAGCACAGCTGAGGATAATGGGAATTTATTCTCTAAACACATCTGTTAGGAATTGCCTGCTGGTTGCAGGGTTTTTTCTGAAACCTTAAAAGTGACCTGCAGTAATTAACAGACACCGGGGAAATTCAGTCGTTACAGCTGCAGGCAGGTCAGAATGAGGTAGACAAGAGAATATTAATATATTTTAAAAAAAGCAGTAGATTAAAAACTAATAAATAAAACATGTAGAGTATGTTGCCATAATCGATAAGGTCACTTAGGTTGACAAGTTCCATCCACTGTATCCCGTGTCTTAATGGCAACTAAAGTCAACACTGCACTTCTTTGCGCCCTCAACAACATACATGTCACGTGTGACGCTGATATGATGAACTCTTCTTGAGATATATGAGCCACACTCAGATAGACAGACAGGGATTTCTGGAAATTATATTCCTGTATTTGAAGTGCAGCCCCCGTTCAGCTTTTAAATAAGGGGTTTCTGGGGGTTTAGGGTTCGGGTTATTCTAGTTCATCCAAAGTGGATCACGAATGTACTACATATCATGGCGATCAATCCAGAAGCATTTGGAGAGATTTCATACAAAGCCACTAAAGTCCAGCTTGTAGTGACACAAAAGAATATCCAAAGGCATCAGGATATTTGCAGCAGATTTCATGGACATTCATGTAATAGTTGAGATATTGCTGTGTGGACTGAAGTAGTGAACAAACCAACAGATGGATGCTGCCATCCCCATAGAGCCATGCAAAAAATGCCAGAATACACCTGAGCACAAAAGCCTTAGAACGAATCTTTCACACAGCTACTTCTGATCTGTAGATAAACAGGACAATGAATATGTGGAACTCAAACAATGCTTCAAACAATGAGAACAATGGCTGTGTCCCAATTGGTCAATGAGACAAGGCCCTTGACTTCCTTTTTGGCTTCTGGTTTGGGCAGATTAGAGAGATAAGTCAAGTTTTGTGAGTAGTATGAAAAACTGCCAGACTGATGGTCTGTGGTCTGTGATCGGTAAACGTTGGATTCAACTGGAGATTTTAAAGATCCAGCGTATAACGTAACACAGATTCTAAAAGTTTCTCTTCTAATGAGCTGGCACGCACCAGTAATTTAAAATGAAAAGACTGCATCAAAATGATTCACACCTCTTCCCCCCAACACATACAAGTGACTTCCTGTTTCAACTGTTGCCATAGTTACCTTAGCTCTGAAGCAATGACAGTGAGGAAACAAACATGTTTACACAATGTTTACACCATGCAGGAAAGACTGTAGGTAGAATTTTTTTTTTAATTTTTCTATGTAGAAACAACACTGAACTTTTGCTTTGGGTATCAAATGTACAAGTTAAATAAAGAGAGTGTGATTTAAAATGAGTGTGCTCGCTATGATATGAGGACGAACATAAATGTTGGGAAACAAAAATGTATTTATATTCCGTGGTAAAGGTTAAACAACGACAATGTGACAATGAAATCCCAGCAGATAATGAGAAACTGAGCAGAGAGACAGAGACACTGGAGATAAATGAGTTTTTTTTATCCCTCTCAGAACAATGTCTGTCCTCATTTCTCTCTCTGGAGAAACAACATTGTCGCAAACTGCAACAATATTGAATAGTTGAGTCGGTGTGGAGCATTCGCCATGATTGATAAATCTCTTTTCAAACAGTTGAACAAACACATGTCTTACATGGTCTAAAAAAAGATCAGCTCGGTCAACACTTCAGTGCGATGGAATGCACAAATCTCTCAATCAACGTCAGACCAAGCAAATAAAATAAACTTGTTCACCCCATCATCGATGTTTAAGAGCTTGTGTGAACATGAATGTGACCTAAATGGATCATCTCTCTTTACTTATAGTCTGAAGTGGCTTTGAAAGAAGAGGGACAAGGCAGTTTGTAACCAGAGCAGCTTGACCACAGATGGCTTCAGGGTTTTTATCTTTGCCATCTTTGATGTATGACGTCACTGCAGCACACAAAAGAAAACAGCTGTATATGAGACACCCTAAATTAAACATCTGACCGACTGCTGAGTCAGCAGCGAAACCAAACTTTCCATGATGGCTGCTCAGTGAGGACACCCACATGCACTCTCATCAGACGTCCTCGTAGCCGGGGATCATTGTGGAAATAGCCGACTGGTGGCACCTCCTCAGCATTCCTCTGAGGCAACGTGCCTTTTTCCCCCCATCCAGCGCACTGACTGGAATGTGAGCAGGAGATGACCATATACGTACAGAGCAAGTGGGATGAAAACCATCCAAATTTGCTCAGAGGTGCTGTAATGACATTACTTTGTGCAGTTTCTGGTCCAGAATATTTGTGTGAAATATGAGCTGGTGACAAAATCATGAAGTTTCCACACATTTTGATCTGAGTCACCTAAAGTAGGACAGTTGTTTTTTTTTGCCTTTTGCTGCTTCCTCTTCAGTGAAGCTACCGAGGGCGATGGAAGGTCTGTCTATGTTGCTGCCCGTGCTGGAGGTCTGGGAGGTGAGGGAGGTTGTTAGGAGTGTGCCCTTATTGTGTATCTCTGGTCGATGGATGAGCAGTGTCTCGGACTGAATGAGCTATCCCAGCGTCATGGGAGCATGACTGGACTGCTTCAAAAGACCAGGCTTTGTGCAACAACAACAAAGCATGCGTCTCGCTTGTGTTTGGGTGCTGGGACAGCGCAGCAGGCGTGTTTGGACAGCGAGTGTCACAGACTACTGTATAGCCAACTGGAATGTCGTGTGTCATCCCCCATCTGGGTCGTACGCTCATGATAAGCCTCTGTAATCTCACAGGTGAAATGTTTGCATATGCCATACTTTTTTTTCTGGGAAATTCGCCTCCTGTGACCTTTTAAATTTCATCGTCCCATCACTGCATGTTTTATCCTTGGTCGAGCTACTTATGGAGTATTTGGGTTTGTACTGGACTTTTTAAATAGTTTTACAATTAGCTCTACATCGTAGCTTCTAATGTCAACTTGCCCACATGCAAATGTTAAAGAAATGCTCTACACACAATACCAACACATTGTGTTCAGAGCGTTCATGTTTTTTCCACATTTCGACATCAAAGCACATGACACAAACCAAAGTTGAAACTATTTCACAATTCAATGTGAAAAAAGGACCTTCCAAGGAATATGTGAATGTACACTGAGACAAAAAAGCTATGACAAGCTGTATTTCCCCTTTTTTGCCAGGTTTGTGCCTTGTGTCAGTTTTTCCTGAAGTTCTAAATGTAGCACAGCTCAGACAGAAGAAGGAAGTGGAAGTCCAAGGTGGTAACTTTGCAGCAGCTTTTCTATTTGAAGTGTACAACTTAGTTAAAAGACGACTGAATAGAGAGGTGCCGGTAGTGAGGGAAAATGGAGAGACAAGAGGAAATCCTGTCAACAATGGTTGAACAAACTTGAGCGTGAGATAATGTGGATGAGAGCAAGCCACTCCCCAACACTGGTGATCATTCACTAAGCCTATTCACACAGGGAGATGTGTGTCTGAGTGTGTTAGGGAGACCAGGGAAAGAGACAGGGAAAG